CCCCTTCTCTTACCACCTGCCCCCTGACCATCTGTGCTTCATGTGGCTCTGCCAGGGGCCCTGTGCAGCCCCTGAAGACACCCAGGCCAGCACGTGTCCACCGCAGCCTGCACACTTGCCACACACACAAGCACCCCTATACCCCCCCCCTTGCAGGGACACACCCCCCTGCAAGGCTGGGCCAAGAGGCCTTGCAGGCTGGGTTGGCTGTCATTGTAGAAGAGGTTCCGGGCTCCTGTGTCCCTGGGGGTGGTTCGAGGTGGGGCGCACAAAGCGCAGGTGGACACAGCCCCTTGGCCACCTCCTCATTTGGGTGAGAGGCACTGGGAGGGCCCCTCTGGGTATGATCTAGGGTCAGCGCTGCAGCATAAGGGGACCCATGCCCTTCCAGGCTGAGGCTCACTCTCCCCAGGAACCTTTTAAGAAGGTACCTTGGCCATTTCTGCTGTGGTCACACTCAGCCTGTGGGATATAGTCGGAACATCCACACGCAGGTGCCCCATCAGGGAAAGGGAGCCAAGTCTGTCCCTTTGCACTTTGCCTGGCAGTGACCAGATTTGTTTCTCCCCAAAATTTACAGGGACAGGGCCACCCTGGTGGCGCAGGGGTTGAAGACACAGCCCTGTCAAGCTCTTCCCAGCCACTGCAGCGTGAGTTCCATCCCCGGCCAGGGAGCTACACACATGGTGCAGCAGACCTCTCCCGTCTCGCCAGCTGTTCCCCTCAGCAGTGTATTGCAGTCGATCCACCTGTTCTGCTCCCCACTCTGTCTCTGTGAATCCTCTCACCCCCTACACCTCTGGCCTGCACCCCAATTCTTGTATGTATAAACAAATAAAATCTTAAAAACAAAATTTACAGGGACAACCGAAACAGACCTGACATACACTGTAACCATCAATACTGGCACAGAGGAATCCATTTTCCCTCCACTGTAGCGTACAAGTGCTATTTTTCACAATTTAAGGTTAAAAGAAAGAGCCTAATAGGATATGAAATCAGGCTCCCAGATGGGACTGACAAAATCGACAGGGACGGGCAACACTCACCAGATTTGCACTTTTGTAAATATTATGCTCAGCAAGCGATGAAGGAGTGGCCAGCGTGGAGGCAGACAGCCATGACTGGGAGCTGCTCAGGTGTCCCGGGTGGCAACCTGGAGCCCCCACTGGCCTCCCTGAGCTTCAACCCCTCCCCAGGAGAAAACACTCCATTCTCTCAGATTCTCTTAAGCAGGTCAAACTTCAAGTCACTAAACAAATAAATCCTGGCCATGAAGTCAGAGCAAGGTGCCAGGGCGATACCAGTTCACACAAAGCTTAGCTGGGCTCCATGAATGTCTCCAACGCAAACAAAGAGGACACAAGGGCCTCTCCGAACACAGCAGCTGGGAGAGTCCAGGCCTGTTGTTTACCTAGGACCTTAACCCCCAGAAGCCCAAGGGAATTTTGGGATACTTGCTAATTAACTTAATTAAATCTCACAAGCCTCCTTCCCATCCCTCCCTGCTGCCTGTTCAACAGCAAGCAAGGCTGCTGGGGAGACAGGTTCACCTGCTCCCAAATGCTGCGTGCCCCAGGGCTGATCTTCCTGGGGGGCTGTTGAACACTGAACTTGGGAATATTGGTGCTTGTTCTGAAAATGGATGGAATCCACACTCAAGAGGAATGTGTGTCTTCTGCTGGGCCATACTAAGTCGAAAAGAGACAGAAAGAGCAAGCACTTTTTTGCCCCAATGTGCAAATAAGAGTTGGTACACTCATTTTGGGTTGTGGGTCAGGAGGACTTACAGGCCTGACTTTTTGCCCCTACTGGAGAAGCTCCTGCTATTCAATCAAGTCACGAAGCAAATTTTATAGAAACCTTTGAAATAGGGGCCAGTATACCTGGCTTTTCTGCCTCTGGAATTCTGGTTCTCACTGACCCACTCTGAAGATAGATTCTCAACCTAATTCTTTCAGAAGCAGGAATGTGAGTGTATTCCCCAGGCAAGCGGCCCGCTAGCCGGCTAGGGGCTGGTCCCAGCTCCTGTCCCTTCAAGGATCATCAGGGTTTCCAAAAATCGGGACCCTATCCAAGCCCCTGACTGTGAAAATCCAGAAAATGCTCAGCAGTTGTGAGCTCTTTCCAGGGAGAAGTCTTTTCAAGACCCTTGCGGGGACAAGCGGGCCCACGGGCACAGCAGCCTGGCATGCCCACCTTGTTCTCCTGCTGCCCCTGCAGCAGTGGCAAGCATCTACCCGAGCTGCACAGAATTCAGGGCCACTCAGGAACCTCCATCCACACAGGCATAGACTCTTCACCTAAGTCCCCTTGGTCTCTTGTTCCTCGTGAAGAAACAGTCTAATAAACTGTAGCTGAAGGGATAAGTACCCCCCCCAACCTGGAACCTTCTAGGGGATGGATGTCAGGGCTCTGGCAGCTGCCACAGGAATAGTGGGCCCACAAAGGCAGAGATGGCAACCTTCTAGGAGCCAAAGGAAAGCATGTTTAACCTTGTCAAGGACAGGAAAGCAGGGGCCTCCCTGTTGGCACAGGGTTTAAAGTCTCAGCACTATTAAGCTATGGCCAGCCACTGCAGCACGAGTTCAATCCCCAGCCAGGGAGCTACCCACATGGCGCAGCGAACCTCTCTTGTCTCCCCTGCTGCTCCCCTCAGCAGTGGATTTCAGTAGATCTGCCTGTTCTGCTCCCCACTTTGTCTCTGTGAATCCTCTCACCCCCCACACCTCTGGCCTGCACCCCAGCTCCTATATGCATAAATAAATAAATCCTTAAAAATAAAAAAAGGAGGGCCTCCCCTGGCGGTGCAGGCGGTTGAGCACCATGCCGTGAAGCTGTCCTCAGCCTCTGCAGTGCTGATTCGATCCCGGCCAGCCAGCGAGGGTCCCACATGGTGCAGCAGACCTCTCCTGACTCGCCTGCTCCTCCCCTCAGCAGTGTATTTCGTCAGTCTGCCTGTTCTGTTCCCAGCTCTGTCTCTGGTGAATCCTCTCACCCTCTTGCGCATCTGATCTGTATCCTGGTTCTTGTATAAATAAATAAATCTTAAAAAAAAAATAAAATAAAAAAAGGAAAGGGAAGCAAAAAAATGCACCCTTTGGAACACAGATGGGAACACAGAGTTCAGAGACATTCTATCCTACCAAAGCACTTGGGACACTTTAAAAGTTTGAAACAACCAAGTTTGAAACATCTGCTTTCTAGTAACAGGAGCCGCTCACAGCCTTGCTCTGGAAGGCAACACCACCAGATGCTATGGCTGCTTTGTAAATAACAAGCACCACTTAAGAAACACAGGCTTTAAAAATTAAATATTCAGCCATGGTCGACTGAAAAACGAATGCTGGGTTAGGTGAGAAATGTGCACGGCATGAACTGCAAAGTGCCAGTCACCTGAGGTCACCCTCCACGCTGGCTCCAGTGTGCCACTGGGGACGTGCACTCAGCCCAAACTTAACTTCCTCATGGAAAATACGCATTATATTACTTTCATTAATCATTTTTAGAACTTCACTTTTGACAAGATAAAGTCTTCTCCAAGTGGCTTCAAAGGAACTCTGCAATGTGTACGCATCTGGCTTAGCGCTGTGCAAGCCAACTGAAGGACACTTTAATCTCTTTGATGAAGCAGTAGTTTTGTACCATAAAGTTAATCTCTCAGCTCTGACAAATGTGGCAGGAAGCAGACATCCAACATGGAATGGAAATTTCTGTGGTTTTCTTCCAAGGCCCTTGCAAATGACCAAACTTGGACTTTTCACGATTGAGGATAAATTGGAATAAATCTGATAATTTAATCCACCATTCACTGCACACTTGTGTGCTGAGAAAACTGGGACATTGTTTCAGTAATCGAGTGACTGAAATCAAACCAGACCACTGGTTTGTTGTGTTAATGAAATGATGAGAGAAGCAGGAAGAAAGGAGATGGTCTTTGCCAGGCAGACACCTCACTGAAGGCCAGCCTTCACTGGGGCGAGCCTTCACTGGGGGCGCAGCACAGTGGGCACTTCCCAGTGCTCTGTGGGGCTGCAGCCCAGGGCAGCTGGGCAGCTGGCCACCATCTGCAAGCAGCGATGCGGCTCGCAAGTTCAGAGTTGTAACAGTCCTCCCTGGGACTGCTCACTGTGGTGCTACCTCGACCTTCTCATGGACATTAGCGGCAAAGCACTGGGCCTGGCTCCAGGAAGCATGTCTGCCACCCGGAAACAGCCACATGGGAGTCATGGTGCTGCCTCCCCTTGGGCAAGAACGTTTCTTACCTCTTCAGGCCTGTTTACTCATCCATAACACGAGGGTAATAATAGCTCTTCTTGTACACTGTGAGGATTACAGGAGGTGGGCTCCCAGTCCCCGGCACAACAGGCACGCAAGGCTCCCCGAAGGCCACGGGGGAGGTGGACGGGACCCTGACTTCGGGGGCACCGCAGAAGGCACAGGGGCCAGGGAGGGTGTGCTGCGTGCTGACGCGTCTGGCCAAGCGCCTGAGGCCAAGGTGCCACCGGTGGTCTTCCCAGAGTCTGTGTTCCCGGGCTTTGGTCCCCATCCCCTCGGGGACACCCCAGATGACACCAAGGGGCAACACTGGCTTCATCAACAGGTGCCAAAGAAAAAGCGCGCCAGTCACCCGTCCTCCTAACCTGCAACGCGCGCGGCCTTGAAAGGCAGCAGGGAATCTCCCGGCATTAGAGGCCAGAGCAGCCGCTCCGAGGACCGAATCCCCCAGCCCCAGCGCCCCGAAGGGAGACCCCCAGAGGGGGCAGCGGGCTGCGTGCGCCCCCAGCCCAATCCGACAGCTCCCTGGCGTCCCGGACGCCACTTCATTCAAACCAGCCCCCCCTGCCCCGCGCGCCCCTAGGCCCCGGCGGCCCCGCGCCGTCCCGTCCGGGCCGGTCACCTCGGGAAAGGGAGGCGCCCCCGTCGAAGCCCCGGCAGCCGCCGCTCCCCGCGGGCGGGAGGCCAGGGGTGGCGGCCGGGCCCGGGGGCGCCGCACTCACCGAGCGTGGCCACCGTGCCGGCCTCGAAGAGCAGGCAGTCCCCGCGGCCGCGCGCCTCCAGCAGGACGCTGCTCGCCCCCGCGCCCTCCAGCCGCCCGAGCAGCCGCAGCCCTTTGCTCAGCGCCATGGGCGCGGGGGCCGCGTCCCGCCCCGGGGCGCGCCGCTGGCCGAGGCTCCCCGCGCTGCGGCAACTTCCACGAGTTTCACTTTGCGCCGCCGCGGCCGGCCGGGCGCAGGCTCCTCCCCGGCCGCCTCCCGGGCCTCCTCCGCCAGCGCCGCCGGGGCAGGTGAGCGCGCGGCCGCCTCCCGCCTCCCCCGGGGCGCGCGCTCCCCCCAGCGGCGAGGCAGCTGCGCGGCCGGGCAGGGTCGGGGCGCGGCGCCCAGCGCGCGGGGAGCGCCGCCCCGAGAACGGCCTCGTCGGCCGGGGGTGGCTCCCGCGCGCCCCGGTCCCGGGGGGACCCCGCGCGCGACTGCTCGGGGCAGCCGGTCCCGGCCCGGGCGGCGCTGGGGAGGCGGATTCCGCACATTCCTGGGCGCGGGGGCGGAGGCCGTGCGGGGCGCCCTGGCGAGCCTGGGAACGCCCCAGGATGCCCACGGCCTTTTATGGGCAGCCGGGCCTGGCCGGCGCCGCGGGGCTGGAAACCACCGGGGGCGGCCGGGTCCCTCCCGGGGCCGCCCAGGGCGCTCGGTCAACTTCGGCCGAGCCCCAGACGCGCTGGCGGAACGCGGGGTGATGGCGGAGCCAGCGCCGCAGGGAGGCAGCGAGGATGGAGTTAATTCCCACGCGCGAGCCTCTTCCCGGCTGGCTGTGTGCGAGAGCGAGGGCGCCGGCCCCTCGGAGAGGCTGGGGACCGATCGATCGGCGCTGTGTGGCCCCGGAGAGAACCGAGACCAGGATCTCCAGGCGGCCCCTTACCAAGTCACCGCGATTTCTCGGAGGGCCTGGCCGAAGGCTACAGCACGGGCGCGGTCACAGCACCTTCCCAGGGCACAGTTGGGTCCCCAAACCAACCTGGTTCCTCACGCTCACACCGTCCTGCTCCCATGGAGAGCTGAAGACTGGCTCAAGACATTTGTCTCTCAGGCATGTTCCAGAAGGTTCAACGCCACGCAGGACACTGTGACACCCTTGCAGGCATTCAGTGATGACCGGGAGTGACCAGACCTTGCATCCTCCGTGGACAACCTCCCAGTGAAGATTTGGAGAACAAAATAAATGTGAATCCCCACAGGGATTCAGATCATTCTTGAGTCTTCTGCTCCTTCACTCACAAACCCAGCTAGGATGTGTGAAATCCCCGGTGGGATGCTCATGAGCTGTCAGTTTCTTTTTCTGCAGGAGGGAGACAGGACTTCCTCACCTGAGGTGCCCATTCAGTGAGGCAGAGTAAACTTTGGCTCAATTTTCCTTTCCTTTTAACTCAAAGCTCGCGGCCTCCCTGGTGGTGCAAAGGGTTAGTGAGACACAGGGCAAGCTAGGGTTATTAGGCAGTTTCAGGGACAGTGCAGGAGGGGACCCCTGAAGAATTTAGGGAGGCCTCAGAGATATAACCAATTCCATTAGGAAAAACAAATACCCCAGAACCACGGACAATATTAATGCTGTTAACGATGGTCCTGGTTTTCTTTGGGTAATAAAGGGAGGTGAAGACTGGCGAAATGGAGAATGGTTTAATTTATGGACAACTTAGAAGGACAACTGTTTAACTTCAATGTAGAGATGCTCACCAGGAGGACTAGGCCATAAAGTGTATAGATGCTCACCCAGAGGACTAGGCCATAAAGATAGAGTGACAAGTATGACAAATGGGGAAAAGGAAAACTGTTAGATAAGGAATGTGAAATTTCCCACTTAGTAAGTGTGAGACCCTCTGGGAGTTAACCAATCAGCGAGAGAAAGAGTAAAATTTAAACATAATGAGGGAGAGAAAGTATATATTGCCAACATAATATCCCGTACCGGCTCATCTTGGCCCCTCCCAGGTACCTTATACCTGGGAGTCTTTCTCCTTTGTCTCTTTTCTTCCTAAATAAACTTTTCTTTCAAAGACAAGATTTGTCTCTCTTTGCTTACTTACTTCAAAAAGTCTGTGAATTCCTTTCTACGGTTTCACGAGACAAGAACTCGTGGTAAAACGGCAGCAGTTGTTACACACGCCGGCATCATTAGGACGCAGCATTATGAAGCACTACAGAGCTACGCACAGCCACTGCAGCACTAGTTCAATCTCTGGCCAGGGAGCAACCCACTTGGCTCGGCAGACCTCTCCTGACTCTCCCGCTGCTCCTCTCAGCAGTGTTTTCAATCTGCCTGTTCTGTTCCTCACTCTGTCTCTGGCAAATCCTCTCACCCCCCCACACCTCTGTCCTGTACCCCAGTTCTTGTATGCATAAATAAATAAATCTTCTAAAAAAATAAACTCAAAGCTCACGTCTTCCAGAAGCCTTCCTGGAAGATACTGAGGTTCCAAATAATAGCGTTTATATACACTCAGACTGACAGGTGTGCTCCATCTTGCTCAAGTTGCTTGAGAAGTGTTTTTATAGTCTGTTAATTGGAAATAAAATCTTAATGAAAGTTAGGAGTTTATTAGATAATCAAGTGAGGATTCGAACCCCAGGCAGCAGTCAGACAGATTTTACTGTGAGAGCTGTCCCAATAAACACACATTTGAATTTATATAGGTAGAAACAGTGAATCACTGGCATTAAGAATACAATTATTCATGTCCGGGGAGGCTTCTACTTCTGAGTTGTCCTGACCTAAAGATATGCTGATGCTGGAGGAGGGCGTTGGGATGGGGGGGGGCCACACTTCAGGACTTAATCTCCTCCTTTTCAAATCACACCCTGCAGAGTTGCAAAGCCTGCGTGCCTGTTGTTAAACCCTCTCTATCTGGGTCCTCAGGTATCAGTGGGGGTGAAAAAACACTTTGCCTTCAGGCATCAGATTCCTGCATAGCTACAGGGTGAAGCCTTTTCTGACTTGAGTTCTTGAAGATGGAGTTGCTCTCTGGTCTGCTAGACCTTGGCAGGAGGGGTAGAGAAATCTCAGAAAATTTTACAATATATTTGTACTTCTCCCTTGGCCCTGTTTCACAAATAAAGTGGTAAGATCTTAGGGAGGGGACCAAGTCTTTTCTAAGATTTGCAATCTGCTCGTTCCTGCCTCTCCCTGTACCACCAGCACCCTGTGCAATGAAGAGCAGCAGTTGAGCTTTACAGCTTAGGGAACCTCCAATATTGGCAGCACCATTGTGTGTCTATCACCCGGGCACCACGGTGGAGAAAGGAACAGATCTTGAGACTTTCAAGGGAAAGGTGAGCTCAGATACAGTAACTGTGTAAAAAGGGGAGGTTCCATTTCCCTGCCCCACCTAGTGAAGGGTGGATCTGAGTCACCGCGAGATAAACGACTTAGAAGATTTTAGGGAGGCCCTTGGAGCAGAAAGACACACTTGCATCTGGCCTTGGCCTGACAACAGGGACTTGGGGAACATGGAAGGAGACTTGGGAGAGACGTGAGTGAGATACGTGGGAGGCTGACAATGGCAGCTGTTACCTTGATTTCTTCTTCGATTTTTCTCCTTTCTTGTCTTGCCTGGCCCCTTCTGCCCCTTTCCTACGGGTCCCCACCAGAAAGTGCCTTAGATTTGGGGCAGGCTTTTGGGCCTGCTTTGGGCCAACCCTCTTTGATTGGGCCTTTACCCACTAGGAGATGGGTGAGTGTTTCATTGAGAACTTGTATCCTTTCTTTCTGTGCACACTAAATCTGTTATAGGGCAGCCCCGATACAAAACGGGGTGCCTAACTGTGGGTCCTCACCCGCGCGCTTAAAAGGACTTATCAATGCTCTACTGCAGGCACACGCCAAAGGTTAATAAAAGGTTTATTTACAAGGGAAGGGCAAACGAGGAAATGTACAACTCGGGGAGAAAAGTGGGAGACAAAGTTTTAAATGCATCCTACCCGATCCGCCCATCTGGAATCCCAAATGGCGCTCTGAGAGCTGGCCGCGAGCCAGGAGCCGTGAAGCCAGGAGGCGAGGAGAGAGGGAGAGAGTGAGCCCCCCAAGGCCCACTTGTCTGGTTTTTATACCCAACCTGGCTGCTTAACTCCATCCTCAGGTCCCAGCCACCTTCCCTTTGGTGGTGACAGGATTTGTCTTTTTTAATGTCTTGATGGCTTTGGTCTGGAGTGGGGGTGGCGTCCACAAAGCCTGCATGGAATTAGCTCAGGACATTCTTTTCCTCTAACATTCTTACTCCTGAGCTGTGAGCCCCTGAACAGCCTATGAGGGAAGGGGAACAGGAGTTGGAAGTAAGGAAAGGCCAACTCCCTCAGCCCCTGAGGAGGCCAGAGCAGGAAACTCAACCTGCCAAGATTTGGAGGGTGATCAGTCAGCACCTGTGGAGCTGGAGAGTCCAATGTATGGTTAAAGCAGAGAGAGTGGGGGCCTCCCTGGTGGCGCAGGGGTTAAAGACACAGAGCTATCAAGCTATCACCAGCCACTGCGGCACAAGTTCATCCCGTACAAGCCAGGGAGATGACCCACATGGCACAGCAGAGCTCTCCTTCCTCCCTGGCTGCTCTCCTCAGCAGTGGGTTTCTGTAGATCTGCCTGTTCTGTTCCCCATTCTGTCTCTGGTGAATCCTCTCACCGCCCGCCCCCTACCTCTGGCTTACACCCCAGTCTTGTATGCATCAATAAATAAATCTTTTTTTAACGTTTTCCAGCTTTAATACCTAGTCCTTTTTTTTAGATTTATTTATTTATGCATACAAGATCTGGGGTGCAGGCCAGAGGTGCAGGGGTGAGAGGATTCACCAGAGACAGAGCCAGGAACAGAACAGGCAGATCGACTGAAATACACTGCTGAGGGGAGCAGTAGGCGAGGCGGGAGAGGTCTGCTGGCCATGTAGGTAGCTCCCCGGCTGGGGATCGAACTCATGCTGCAGTGGCTGTGGATAGCTTCCTAGTGTTGTGCTTAACCCCCTGCACCACCAGGGAGTCCCAATAAATAAATCTTAAAAAATAAATAAATAAAGCGGGCCTCCCCGGTGGCGCAGCGGTTGAGCACTGGGTTGCGAAGCTGCCCGCGGCCTCCGCGGCGCCGGTTCGATCCC